ACACTCACACTCATACTCACACCCACGCCCACACTCACATTCACACATTCACACGCGCACTTGCACTCACCCTCCCACCCTCCTCCCCTCCCTCCCTCCCTCCCTCCCTCCCTCCCTCCCTCTCACTCCCTCTCTTTCTTGCTCGCTTGCGCTTTCATGTTCTGGCATTGCGGGCAGGCATACTTCGAGTATGATGCCAAGAAGAGCGGCGGCGTGACCATCAGCCACTTGAGGTTCGGACCCAAGCCAATTCACGCTCCTTACAACGTCCGCGCCGCCGACTACATGGCCATCCACAAATCAAGCTACGTGCACAACTATGCTCCCCGCCAGACATGGAGTTGTTGTCAGCCTGCATTGTTTAGTCTGCGCAAGCGCTCTCAGCTGGAGATTAGAATTCGGCTAAGGACATGATTGCATCCTGCTGTCGCTACTTTCAAAAACTTCAAAAACGGCTAAGGACATGACGCGTTACCTGAAGCAGAACGCCGTCTGTGTGATCAACTGCTCCTGGGACGTAAAGGACTTGGAGCAGCAGCTGCCTGCCAAGATGCGGCGGGATCTGGCAGAGAAGAAGGCCCGGGCGTGCCGATGCTAATGCCAACTGATTCCAAACCGTCCCTGCGCTTGAAGGCAAAGCTGTTCATCATCGATGCTACCAAGATTGCAGTGAAGGCAGGCAGACATCACGGAAGCCACAGGATTACTTGATGCAGGCGGTTAGCTTCGGTTCCGGTTGCATGAAAGTTGACCATGACATGTAATGAGCCAGGATCAAGTGCAGATTGTGGTTTTGGAATTGCGCAGTCGCATCTCGTACTGCGTGGCAGACAGGCCGGCCTGGGCAAGCGCATCAACATGATCATGCAAACCGTCTTCTTCAAGCTGAGCGGCCGCCTCAGACGCACGCCTTAGACTCATGCCACATGGGCCACAGGGCCACATAGGTGTGGATCTGCATCGCGCAGCAAAGTTGCATGAAGGTGCCGTCATGCCCTACGAAGAGGCCGTGGAGATGCTGAAGAAGAGCATCAAGAAGATGTATGGCAAGAAGGCGCGGTCTTGAGCACGGGGGTTGCAGCGGGGTTCGGGCTGATCGGCATGCAAACCTGTCAGGGCGACAAAGTGGTGAAGATGAACATCGACGGGGTCGATGCTTCAATCGCGGGCATCGTGGAATGCGAAGTTCCAGCTGCTTGGGCATCCCTGGCAGTCGACACGGAGGCTCGCGCATCTCGTGCATCGAATTGCAGATGATGCCGGTTTTCCAGGGGAGTCTCGATTCCGCATCAAGAGTGGGCTAGAAGTGAATTTCTTGACAGGCTTCCGACGCCAAGACCAGCACGGTCGCTTATGCCAAGGGGCCCCGCATGTTCCCCGAAGTGCAGAATGCTTCGCAGTTTGCCGCGCAAGTGCAGAAACCTTGCAACAATCTGGATGGCAACTCTCTGCCGGTGAGTGCCTTCGTGCCTGGTGGCCGTGTGCCATGTGGTACCAGTCAGTACGAGAAGCGTGGCATTGCAATCCAGGTGCCTAAGGTAGACATGGACAAGTGCACGCAGTGCAACAAGTGCAGTCTGATCTGCCCCCATGCAGCCGTGAGACCATTCCTGATGACCTCTCAAGAGCTGGGGAAAGCCCCTGCATCGTTCAAGGAAGGCAGCCGTTCTGCTATCGGAGGAGGCGTTTT